TAAAAACAAGTATTTATAAAGGGCCTACAAAGTGCCAGCAAGGCCCTCTGATAACACAGAATCTATCACTCAATGGGCAACATTCAGTAGAGTGGAAAAAGCAGGACCCCAAATAAATTCCAAGCGTTTCTGTTATTACAATTTTCTATAAAGGCTATTGATCAAAAAACTGGGTCTTTAATGAGTCATGAACAATTGCTGAAGTACTGTGGAGAATTAAAAAGTATAAAGAAGTAGCAAAATTTGTCCTTAAGGATCTTTTCAATGTGTGTTCACACTAATATGGTGTGAAGATCTCCAAGAATTTCCAAAAGGATAGTTTCTTCTGGAGTCCACCTGAATGAGGACTTAGTCTCTATCTCTTGTGGCTGTCCTATGGAGCATAGATACAGTTCCAATCCAACTAAAGTTGACGACAAGGAACTACAGCTACTAACTCATAGATGCTGAATCTCAGAGTTATAAGGGACCTCAGAGGTCATCTAGTCCAGCTGGTAAATTAACATTTATAAATCCCTTCTAAAGGATCCACAGCAAGTGATCATTCAGCCTCTGCTTAAAAGATTTCCATTATGAAGAATCTATTACCTCCTCAGACAGCTTGTTCCATTTTTAGGCAACAAATTTTTTTAAGGAGTTTCTCCTTATATCAAAGCTAAAATCTACCTCTTTCCAACTTCCACCTACTGTTCCTAGTTCTACCTTCTGGGACTACACAAAATAAGTCCACTCTCTTTTCACATAATTGTCCTTGCAGCACTTGAAGACAATAGTAATGACTACATCATTTTTTCCAGGCTAAATATTCCCATGTCACTATGCTCTAGATCGTCAACCTATTCCACTTCTCTCTTAAGTTCCAGTACAGGCTCAGGGCCACCATCTTGTCCACAAGGCCTCTGGCCCCATCATCAACTTTCATCAGTAGGCATGAAGACATGCATCCTTTTCCAATCAGATCATTGTTTTCACTATCCTCCTCACATACCATATTTGTTCCTACCTCCTCATCTAAGTTTCAGCAACAATTTCTTTCATTGTTTTTTAAATGGGCTTCTTTTTTCTTTAGAAGTCTTCACTTACCAACATCCTTTAACGTGGCAAAACAAAATCTATACCCATTTATTTAGAAATATAAGTTCTATAGCAAAATTCTCTTTTTACTTTTTATATTTTACTGAGCTTTCATTTACTGCATTTCCCCATCATTTGTTGTACATTCCTATATTAAACAAAAATAATGAAATTAATTTTAAAAGTCTCTTTAAAAAAGTATCTTATCAAAAAAATAAAATTGTTGTGAAAAGTTACTCCTAAATGTTAATTGTTCAGGGGTAGGCCAAGCCAACATAATAAAAATGACAATTCTACCTAAATTAATTTACTTACTCAGTGCCATACCAATCATACTACCAAAAAATTAGCTTAGAGAGCTACAAAAAATAGTAACAATTCATTTGGGAGAACAAAAAGTCAAGAATATCAAGGGAATCAATAAGTGCACATGTATAATCCATATCAAATTGCTTGCCTTCTCAAGTAGTGGGGGGAAGGAGGCAGGGAGAGAATTTGGAACTCAAAATTAAAAAAAAAAGAATGTTAAAAATTGTTATTACATGTAATTGGGAAAAAAAATTGAAAAGTTACTCCTATCTCAAGCCATCCAAAAACAATGTATATCATGTTTAAAATTAGCTTGACATACTGCAACCAAGAGGTGGTTAGCAAGCTCTTTTGCCCTGAACGTCACCATCTAAACCCAAGGCATAAGAAGAACATGATAAATTCTATTTTCAGAAAAATAGCACAGAGTAGGAAAAATAATCTGAACTATGGAGACTTCAGGTGCTAAGAATTCACTGTCTCTCCTGTTAGGCTTCTTCCCACCCCTACCCCTACCCCCAACTTCCATTTAGTACTGATAATGGCAAAAGCAATATATGTCCTCTCATGCCTTACATCTTAAGAGAGGACAAGGAGAGTTTTGCAATTCTAAGAAGGTGGTTTACCTCTAACAATCTGAGTAACTTCAATAACTTTTGGTGGTACTACTTGCCATAGGTCCCAATGTTAATGAATAAAGTTTCTTTGAAGAGAAGTAAGCAAGCAGAAGAGGGAGAGGAAGAAAGGAAGAAAAGAAAAGAAAAGAAATTCAGGAGCCCAAAAGCAAATTACAGACAGTTCTCTGCTTATAAATGTACTTTGAAGTTAAACACTCAGACCTTCTCTTATCCTAATTAATTCCTTATTGCATTAAGCGGGCCTGATCAATCCCTAGTCTAGAGATAATGTATTTCCTTGACTAAATTTATTTCATTCAGAGCTCCTTTGTAACTGCCCCAAGTGTTTTTTTTTTCCTGTGGCTGCTGGTACACCAGGAATCCTCCCTCTCTTTCACCCTACTCCAGCAGCCTTGGAAATGGGATGCTGTTATGGTCCTGCACAAGAGGGGGAAGGGAAGGGCTGTCATCTCCACTGCATGCAGAGTATGCAGAAAAAAAAGGGAAAAGAGGCAAAGAAGACGTGTGCCTGATGTTCAGACCTGGGCTCTCTAAATGTGTTTTCACATAGATGGTTAGGTTCTATTAGGTGAGTCCGAGTTTTATTTATTTTTATACACACACACACACAAATATACATATATATATAATTATTATTATAGGTACTCCCAAGAAAGCCCAACAAAAGCAATGGATAATGAAAAAGAGTACTCTGGAAGCTGGGAGTCTTCATTTTCGTGCTAGTTGCTGTGTGACACATCTCTAAACTTCTCCAGCCCTCAGCTGCCTCATCTATAAAATTACGGGCTCAGGCAAAACAATCTCTATGGTCCCTTACAGGAGCATGGTACAGTAAAGTGAACACTGAATATAGCATTAGAGGGCCTGGGCTCAAATTATTTTTGCCACTTATTAGTTATGAGACCTTGGGAAAATCACTTATCTTCATCTGTAAAATTAAATGGTTGAACTATATCTAGTCCAGTACTAAATCTATGATCCTATTATCCTATGACCTGTAATAGCCTACAAATCTAAGTTTGTTTAACCCATTATGTGGCTACAAATAATATTGTCAATTAGTATTGAGGTTACAGGCAACCCCTGATTTAGGAAATATTATGTTTCTGAAGTTTTTTACAAGTTTGTTGTTTGGAACTTGGCATTTTCTACTCAACATCTCTGAAGATGATAATCTTCAGACAGAGGCTCGTCAGCATAGTGCCTTGCACACAGCATAAATATTAGTTGATTAATGACTAATTCCCTCTAGCATATGTAGGGCCAAATTAAACAACTGACTTAAGAGTCCTAGAAATGAACCAGTCACCCAAAAACTCTCTGAAAAAGGAAATACAAAATTGTGGCCAGAAGATGCCATCCCCACCTATCAGAATGTATACATAAAATATTACCTTAGATATAACATATATTGTATTATATTATTTCACAATATAAACATCCAACAAACATAAGGGAGGGAAGTGTTATCTGGCTCATTTCTCAAACTTCTCCAAAAAGATTCCATAGAATAGTTACAGAATTCAAGCTTCAAGTAAATGTAGTTTACAAGAAAAATCACACCTAGAGACCTTTTTATTCTTAGCACCTTAAGCTGCCTTCAACAGAAGGAAAAGTAGAAGTGCCACCTCCAAGTTAGTTATTATTCAATATCGGATTTTCCACCAAATCATAGGGGTTTTTTCCTGCAAGTCATAACTACTTCCTACACGATATAAAAAAAAAAAGAAATCCAGACGAGACTTTTTCTCAAAAACTTCTATAAACAGCTTCTTCTACTCTCTCAGAAGTAAATAACACGAATCTTCACATTTCGGGGGGGAAGGGTCAGTCTTAGAAGCATTGATTAAGCGCCTACTCTATAGCTGGCACAGTGCTAAGCACTGGGGATACAAAGGACAGAGAAAGGGGGAGAAAGAAAGAGGGAGAGAATTATTAAGCACTTATGTGCTTGGCATTATGTGCCAGGGACTGAACTAAGCGGTGGGGATATAAAGGAGAGAGGGAGGGAGAATGGGAGAGGGATGGGGTGGGGGTGAGGGAGACGGAAGAGAGTTTTTATTAAGCATTGACTATGTGCCAGACACTGTGCTAAGTACTCGAGGTACGGGGTAAGGTATAAGGGGTGAGGGGGAAGGGAGAAAGAGAAAGAGAAAGAGGAAGAGAAGAGAAGAGAAGAGAAGAGAAGAGAAGAGAAGAGAAGAGA